AACCCATGAACAGCATCTAGAATTGAACTGCCGAGAGTACTATCTCCACCACCGCGAAGATGTTTAGGAAAATTATCACGTGATTGTTGTCCTAAAGAAAAATCCAGTGTGGTGTATTTGTGTGTGTGACTCAAAATACAGGTGATGTAAAAAATATTTATCTTTTACCGACATTAACACTTATTGTTCGTTGTTGTTCATTAAATTCATGCAAATCAGATCCTAATCTTTATCATTAGTGAAGCAAAAGAACGAATGGATACAGGTATAGAGCTTGAGGATTTCATTTGTAGTGCGACGTACGGTTGTTGTTGTACAAAAGCCATTTTGAAACGACGATTCTGAAATATGGAATATTTTTTTATCTGCTTCTTTTTTGCACAGAAAACTCTTTTTTAATTTGCAAATAATTTCTTTTTGGGAAAATACATCCTTCATGTGTCTTTCTGCTAAAACTGTTCTCACTTCTGGAAAAAACACAGACTTAGGACAGAATAGAATATTCAGTTTTTCATAATGGTTTGGTTTTAAGAGGAAACAGAATATTTTTGGGAAACTAGTTCACGAAATGATTTATACTGTCCGGTTCGATATGATTAGATTTTTTTCCCAGAGGAGAAGGTCTTAAATCTGCTATAATATTGATCAATGAAATGGTGTAAATTATTCTATCCTCAGGAGACAGGTACCTTGCTTGTATTATGAAAGCTGTAAGGCTAAAAAAATGGAAGAGCCGTACACTTTCACGCAGCTTCCTTAGTTTTGCTCTACTGTTAGAAGTTTTCTCTGGTAGACTGGTGAGTTTCCCTTAAAAATTATTGATCTACTATAAGTTTAAACGGCAGTTTACTTACATAGATTTTGTTTCAACTTGGTAATGATGATAACAACGAAGTGTTTAGTAATGTTATTTTATAAAAAGCAATTTATTCTCTTTTATAAGTCAACTAAAATGAATGTGTGTTGCATAACTTTTCTTTTCCTTGCCTATTTTTCTTGTTCTTTAATCAGATAATATTACTGACTTCGGTTGCGCCTAAAACATGATAAGAAGTGATAACGTAGAGTAAATTTATTTACACAGGCGGGACTTCACCCCGTTTAAGTATCTGAAATTAAACGGAGTGAAACCCCGCTTGAAAGTTTCACACTTGAAGGTTTGAACTGTATCGTAATGAGTAAATACGACTGAAATGAGCAATGAGAGGTGAGGATTTGGAGCTATGATTACCAAACTTTCGAACAGCATCCACTAGCTTAACGGCAATGAACGCCAACAAAAACGAGCTCTCATCTTTCTCTTCACGTAAAGGTAAAAAATCTTATTTATATTCATATAGTAATCACAGTAAGCTAAAGCTAGATTTGTACCCAAATGACTATTGGGATGATGTGCTCACAATGACTATTCCAATGAGGCACCTAGATTTCTTCTAAAAATGATGAATACCAATACGCGTCATCGATCAGCGATCGAATGATCTCACTTCGTCTCTTGGATAACGACAACGCTCCACAACAAATCTGATCTTATCTATTTTAGAACAGAGTGGGACTATCGGACACGATTTTCAGACTTTTTCACATTCAACTGGTATAACTTTGTTATTTTCAATGATTCTTTCAGCGCCCTTGGTCAGATAGATAGTGTAATTAATTCTCTACAAACACTATCCTAAAAATTTCAAAATCCGAATTGCAGATGCGTAGCTCTCACCTATTTTTCAATCACAAAATCGATTACGGATATCGTTACTACATACGAAATAAAGATTCTTTGCTAGCTCAATTATGTTACGCTATTTCAAAGCAGATATTCAGAACCAGCACGTCTTCAGCTATCTATTGATAACAAAATATTTCTATTTCGGCACCGAATTCAATAAGTAAGAGCGAGATGTTCTCCATCAGGTCAGTCCGTAGTAACAGTACTCCAGTATAGCCGGGTCGCCCTCGTTAACCCCACATGAAAATAACATTCAAACACATCAAAATATTCCTCAAACGCTACTCCATGTATTCTAAAATCGCAAAATCTCGCATATTTTCTAAGAAGGTTTTATGGATTTTTCAAATCCCAAGGGGTTTTCGCGTATTTCACATTTTTCTCTCTCACCAAAGCACTGTTTCGTACAAATAATGCGATATTCGGAATCAGCGTGAAAAACTACGTCGAATAATATATAGCTTTTTAATTTTTCTGCAGAAATATTTTCGGTCAAACTGAATTATACAGTTGAAAGCCTGTCCGCAGCAAATTTTGCTTAGGAAGTTGGATATTTATTTTAGCAATAGTACGCAAGGGTATAAACACATTTTCTATAGGTTTTCGAATATGATTTCTCTAATAGTGAGGTTTTAGAAATGTAAAAATTATTTTTTGTGGGTTTTCCAAAGATTCGGTCTCTAGAAAACCCACAAGAAATTACTTCTGAGTTCTGAAAATCTCATCATTAGAAAGAGCATATTCGAAAACCAATAGAAAAACATGTTTATGCGCTTTCATACTAGTTCTACAGCATATGTCCCCCTGCTCTATAGAAAAATGCCCACTGTGGACCGTTAGGACGCTAATTTCACCATGTTTTACCCGGCTTTCTCTTCGAGAATAGCAAATATACATCCCATTCAGTAGTATATTGCGACAAAATAGCGATCACTAAAATCGCGTCTTATTTCGCGAGTCTTATAGCAATCGCGCTACGCGATCGCGGCGCGATTTTTTAGCGCGAGTCGCGCCGCGATTTCATCGCGAAAGTTGACTTGGGTTGTTGGCGCCTTTCTCACGAGTACTCGCGCGTAGGAAAAGCGCTCTTTTGGGCTTATTCTGCGCGCTGAAGGTTGCTGACTTCAATTTTGATATTTGCAGGTGAAGAAATAGTCTAATATCGCTAAATTTTGCTATATATGAGACGCTAGGTATTACGGCGTGTAAGCATTGGTGCTCAATGGGGTCAATGAGAGCGTTACTATAGGCCATAAGAATGAATTTCGCTATAAAGAGCCGAAAAAGTTCAAACAAAAAAGGGTTTAACCAAACTTTCACCAGAGCATACAGCCTAGATTATAGGGGTAAAAGGAAATCGAATAAAAACACTCGTCTCAGAAGTTGTTTTTTTTCATATGCAAAATGAATCATCAGTTTTGTTACAGCATGACCCATCTCGTGCTGCCCCCTCATCATCATCATCTAAATACTATCAGCGTTCTTTTCCAACTTCTTTCTTGTCACGACATTGTCAAACAATTGACGAAGAAATTAATTTGGTAGTTGAGCACCAATCAAATAATAAAAGCGAAAAGCGAAAATAATGTAAGCGAGTCTTTTAATTCCAACGTGATAACGTCAGTGGATACAGCAAAAGATTTTGCATCGATCGATGCGCTTTTATTAAGGTTTAAAAAATATTTTTGTGAAGAAATGAATTTAGTTCTGAATTTTTGAGGTTTTTGGTGAAAACCTGTAATTCCGAGATTCTGACCGAACAAAACCTTTTCATGATTTCTAACGTCGGTATGCGGGATCAGCATGATCGATTACAGATGTCTAGACGTGTTTGAGAAAAATCAAAAATCAAAAGTTTTTCGAAAACCCTGAGGTGGACCTCATGCCTCGAAAACCCGACCGAGAGATTTCGCGAAAAACACTATCTGGAAATGTTCCTGGGCATGCCCTGACATCATTCCAATGCAAAAAAGCCGAAAATGTTTTGAGCCAGGAAAGGGCCTTAATGGCCCACGTCCTTTCACTTTTCACTTTTGTTAAACAAATGTCAAATCAGCCTTTAATCTTGAGAAAAAGGTAATGTGCAGTTTTCGATGTATGCAATACTGACATGCAATAAACAGATAAATTCTAACAAATTAAAAAGGTGAAGTCATGTTGTGTACTCGAGGATAGTTGGGGTATTCAAAGTTGAATGATAACTCGTGTACTTCGGACCTCTTTCATTTCATCACTAATAAAGGTATATATATTTGAGGAGAATTGGCGTTGTGAAAGTACTAAGAAAGGAAGAGAAAAAGAAAATACGCGTGTAATCGATCTTTCGCCCATCCGTCGAAAGAAGAAGAAAAACAGACAGACAGAGTGCGTATATTCTCGTCCACTGTAATAAACTATTTTATTAAAGCAGTAATATTGAAAAAATGTCATAGGTAAAATCGTTTGTCAGCGTTGCCCCTGTGGAGTAAAAAGTGTTAAACCTTCCGTTAGTTCCGTTAGATTTTTCTGATATTCTGGTATTTCAATGAAATGTCGGAATCAAAAAGAACTCTAGTGATTCTAGTTCGTAGAGTAAACGTTTGTGGTTAAAATGAGACGTCGCCTCGCACCGAGCGATGCTCTGATCGGAAGTTATGCCAGTTTTATTAAGAGCCCTAAAGCGTATGTCATACACGGGCGCCGATATATCTCAAGGATGACTTTTTCCTACGTGATAAGCACTGTCGGATAGGTTTCTTCGTCAGACTAAGTCGTAGACAGCACGGATTGGTCTTAAATTGAAGCCAAGACATATGAAAACAACGTAAAAGAGCCCGATTTCTGATTTAAACCGTCATTCTTTTACATTGCCCAAGTTTATACACCAGTTTTTGTATGTAAACCAGCCCGAACTATTCCTCAACCTGCACAACCTTTTACAGAATTTTCTCTGAGATTGGACTTGTGGTTACCGATTTGTGACACGGGGTGGGGGTACCGTAGTATGATAAAAAACAGAAAAATGCCCTATGTATGATATATATAATATGAATGATTTTGTCGGTAAAGGTAACTCTTATTATTTTTTATTTTTCTGATAGCGAAAAAGGGTTTTTTCTGTTTTCTTTCTTTCGTTTTCATATTAGTCATTCGATCGATGTTTAGTATTGCACAATATAACAAAAAGAAAGGTGTAAATATCGCATATATAAGCACAAAACCCTTTGATAAATGCTGGTGTGATATCAAATTAAACTAATAACTGACTAAAGTTCATTTGCTGTATGTTTGTAGGATGGAAGGGGTATTCTTAAACAATCGGATAAATGTGATACCACGACCATTAATAATTAATGACTTATCAGGAATATTTGTATTATCTAATAGTACTATTATTATTGCGACTGTTGGTTGTGAAAATGAATTGGCATTGTTTAAAAATAGTTTAAAAGGAGATTTTGATTTTGAATTTTCTGATAAAACTGATTCTATTTCAGTTATTAAATTGATTTTGAATGATAATCGAATAAAGAATGAAAGCTATCATTTGAATGTTGATGTTAATAAAATCGAAATTATTGGCTGGTCAACAGCTGGCATTTTCTATGGTTTACAAACGTTAAGACAATTAATTAATAACAAGGATAACTTAACAATTCCCTGTGTTCATATTGAAGATCAACCACGTTTTCAATGGCGAGCATTTATGCTAGATGTGGCAAGACATTTTCAAAACATTTCAACTATTAAACAACTTCTTGATGAAATGTCTCTATTAAAAATGAATCGATTTCATTGGCATTTAACAGATGATCAAGGATGGCGAATAGAAATAAAAAAATATCCAAAATTAACTGAAATTGGTTCAAAACGTTCATGTACACAAAGTAGATGGAAAAGTATGAATTATGATTATACGATACACGAAGGTTATTATACACAAGAAGAAATTAAAGAAATTATTCAATATGCAAATGAAAGACATATACAAATTGTACCAGAAATAGAAATGCCTGGACACGCTAGTGCTGCTATTGCATCTTATCCAAGTCTAGGTTGTAATCCACAACAACAAATTAATGTACCAGGTGAGTTGAATTCTAATGTGATGAAATGAACTCCAGATGTTTTAGAAATTTCATTTTCTGTCTGAAGTAAATGACAGTCTTTAAAGGAGACCTTGCCTAACATACTGTTTTTTTTTATTTCATAAAGGAGAGGTGAATTGGACTGTTATACGGCGGAGAGATTTTTTAGAACCTGACTTACCACAAAATTTACTCTCTATTTATCCAATAAAGTTCTATGTTTCTTTTTCGTAGGTGCATTTGGTGTTCATTATGAAGTGTTTAATGTAGCTAATCCACAGACAATAGAATTTCTGGAAAATGTATTAGACGAAGTTATTGATTTATTTTCAACATCAGATGTTATTCATATTGGTGGCGATGAAGTAAAATATGATCAATGGAAATCATCAGTAGAAATTACAAAATTTATATGTGAACATAATTTACAATCACCAGCAGATTTACAAATATGGTTTACTAATAAAATATCAAATCTTTTAAATGGAAAACATCGTCGTATGATGGGTTGGAACGAAATAACGGGTGGCAATAAATTACATCGTTATACAAGTGAATTAGATATTTTAACAAAAGAAAAATTAGCACAAAATACAATTGTTCACTTTTGGAAAGGTAATTTAG